CGTATTCGATACACCTGCAGAAACTGTTGCTATGCTCTATCTGTCGGTGTGCCTAGTGCCTTTTTTAAAACCTTTTTAGTGTCCACGAAACTTTCGGCCTGGCCATTCGACCTAGGGTGGTATTGAGGCGTTGTAAGGTGGTCCACCTGATATGAATGGCAGAAGTCACTAATTTCACTTGATGTGAATTGAGTGCCATTATCTGTAACTACACAATCTACCACGCCAAAACGCGCGAATAGCTCGTGTAGAAATCCGATCGTACAGTTTGTGGTTGGTCTTTTGCATTGTAGGACCTCAGGCCATTTTGAGTGGCTATCCACAACAATGAGGTAGTACATATTGTCTAAAGGTCCTGAAAAATCGACATGAATTCTTTACCATGGATGGTCTGTGTTTGGCCATGGTTTGCACGTCGTGGTTGGAGCTTTTGCTGCAAGCGCGCATCCTTTGCATGATTCTACCATGTCTGCTATGCCCTTGTCCATGTTTGGCCAATAAACGTAGCAGCGCATGAGGGTTTTCGTACGGTTCTTCCCCGGATGTCCCATGTGAAAATCCCTGAGGATTTTTATTTGTAGGCTATTTGGAATCGCTACGCGGTCATTATATAGTAGGACATCATCGCAGAGGGAGAAAACTTCAGGCACATTGCGAATTTTACTTTTTATGGATTGAATGAATTCATCCTTTCGAGACTCCCTTTTTATGTCGCCCAAAGTAACTGGGAGCTCTCTTATGGTACTCGCGATCATGTTTTTGATTTCACAATTTGTCCTTAGAGTGGCAATGATGGAGTCTTCAAAGACTTCTGTATTTTTTGGAATGAGTCGCAATAAACTGTCTGCATGGCAAATAATTTTGGATGTTAAGAAGTCTATCTTGAAAATATAGTTTAAGAGAATTGTACCCCAGTACCGAAGTAGTCTATTTGCAGTATAGACTGGCAGACCTTTTTTAGAACCAAAAATTGTAATCAGAGGTTTATGATGCAGTATGAACCGTCTACCATGTAGATATCTGTGAAACTTTGTCACAGCGAATATTAACCCTAGAGCATCTTTCTCTATTTGGGAATATTGTTTCTCAGCTGGAAGTAGAGATCTTGATGCATGAGCTACAGCTTTTCGGGAACCATCTGGCAGTTTATGCAGAATGCAAGCACCAATGCCGTACGAGCTTGCATCAATTGCGACTATGATGTCGAGACTAGGGTCATAATGGGTGAGGGAGAGGTCTGAAGAATGAGTTTTCTTGATCTTTTCGAATGCGTCTTGGCATTCCGTTGTCCATGACCATTGTTTGTCCTTTTTTAAGAGTTGGTTGAGAGGCCCTCTCAAATTTTGCATGTTCTTAATGAACCCTTGGTAAAAGTTAGCTAGGCCGAGGAAGATTTGTAACGCTTGAACGTTATCTGGGGCCGGCATGATTCTGATCGTGTTGGCTCTTTCTGGATCCGGCCGACGACCGTCTTTATTTATGATGTGCCTCAAGTATTTAATCTCTGGTAAGAAAACGTCACACTTTGCCTCCTTAACCTTAAAACCGTATTCTTGTATCTTTTCGAATACGTTTATTATATGGTTCCGGTGCTCTGCCGTAGTTTTACTAATAACCAGTATATCATCCAAATAGGCTGTTGCGTAGTCAAGGTCGCCCAGCATGGCGTCCATGACCTGATGGAAAATTGCAGGCGCAAACTTTACTCCAAAAGCCAGTCTGTTGTATTTGTACAACCATCTATGGGTGTATGTAGAGCAATTTGGAGCTTTCTTCTTCCACCTCTATCTGAAGGTATGCGTCCGAGAGCTCAATTTTAGAAAAAAAATTTCCAACATTGAGTTTATTGAAAATTTCTTCAGGGCTTGGGAGAGGATAGTGGTGATCTTGCAAGGCATCGTTTAACCCTGTGGAAAAATCTGCGCATACTCGTATTTGATTGGACTTCTTTTTTACGTAGACCGTAGGTGCTGCCCACTCACTGAAATCTGTTTTTGACAGAATACCTGCTTGTTTGAGTCTATCTAACTCTTTGTTGATTTGCTCTAGAGCAGCGAAAGGGACATTCCGTTTCTTTTTGAATACCGGTTGTGCACCGTCCTTCACCTTGAACTTAGCTGTCATTTTAGTACATTTCCCAAGGCCGCCAGAAAAAACCTGGGGAAAATGTTGTTTGAGTTCCTTTTTTAGATTTACCAAATTGGACGTTGTACTTTGTATCTTGCGACAAAATAAACTCATTGGGCAATCCCAAAGATTGAATTTTTATATCCAATCTGTTCCAATTGAGTTAACTGAAGTTTTCAATACGTAGGCTTTGAGCTTTTTGGTAACTCCATTTAGTGTTACTGTAAGTATTAACTCACCTAAAATGTTAATCTTTTTCCAGTTACGGATTTTGCTGTTTTATCAGTTTTTAATAAGGTCGGCGTGTTTAATTTTAGCCAAGTACGCCAGTTAATGTTTGAAAGATCGGAACCCGAGTCAAGCTGGAATATAATGGACTTATTGAAAATATCCACAGTTACATATCTCCTTAAATTCCTATCGGCAATATCGTCAGATTCAGCTTGCCTAATCTTATTTTTGGTTTTTTTAGTTCTGTTAGCGTACTAGCACAAAGTTAAAGTATGCCCACTTTTATTGCAATTTTTGCAATATTTTTTGTTCTTAACTGGACAGAATTTTATCCAATGCCATTTACCACAATGGTAACATGGTCCGGGCTGTTTCTTTAACCTATTTGGGATTTGGTTACTGCGTAATTTAGGACATGAGATTTGCCTTTTTTCTTTTTGAGGAGAATATGAGGTAGACTTACTTCTGATTTTATTAATCTGAGACACACCTGATTCCTCGATAGTGTTTGAGTCACACTTTACAGATATTACTCTTTGACAGTCCTCTCCCAGTTTTTGGAGAGTCAATCCTTGTTCGTTCTCAAGCTTGGTCAGTACCCGTCGTCTTCTGCTGATACTAGACCTTGTGCGAAAATTAAGCACTTAAAATCATCGGCAGTCAGTTCGACTAGTTTAAAATCATTACAGAGCTTGTTTACCGATGCTGCAAACGCTAGAATATCTTGCTGGTTGTCTTTGACTGTGTTCCGGCATTTCCAACGTTTGTAGACCAAGGTTGTTTGTAGGCCCGAATAGTGCCGATAGGAGCTTAATAGTCCCTGAAAAATCCAAGTCAGTGGTTTTCTTGTGTAGTATGAAGTCTACGAACCTACTATGTTCTGTAGTTCCCAGTTTTCTCAATAGTAGATGTAGTTTTGAGATTCCGTGGTTCCGTTAATTTTAACGTAATTGTATAAATTTTCACCACACTTATGTATTATTTTAATTATAGGAGTTACAAAAAGTGAAAACTCATCTCAGTGGATTTGAGGGGAGAATAATTTTATGTACGAGTTCAACTCAGTTACATAAAAAAAAATTGTTTCAGTTTGTTTTACGACAAACTGTTTTTTTTTCTCTGTGTGTGAGTGTGAAAGAAATCGTTCTCGTAATGTTATTTGGACAGACTTTAATATTCGGTAGATGTCGAATCGTTAGTTCGTCACTGATGTTTGGTATCGGAATATTTTTTTTTATATGTAGACGCTGGGCGTTACCTTTAAATCGCTAATGTAGTAATACCAGCTTAATTTCTCGTTCAACACCACTATGGATATGCGTGGAGTTTCTGTGTATTTTTCGAGTACTCTGTCGCTATTGATATGGTGAGAACGAAATTCTCGAATCTTTCTGTCGCCACTGATGTGGGACTGGCAATGTATTGCGGTTTTCGACGTGAATGCGTTTTTCGAATTCTTTGTCGACACAGATATGGGACGGGTAAGGTATTTAGGTGTCGCCGTGAGTGCGTTTCTCGAATTCTCGTCGCCACTGATGTGGGGCCAAAGTTGGGACCACAGAAGTAAAACACGGAACACAGATTAGATGTAAGAAAGATATATTAACCACAGGTTACAAAGATAGTGTAAACGGAGCTTACTATATGTTAGTGTACAATACTGGTAGTCGTACGCGGCTCTCACTGTCTCTCTGACTCTCTGACTAGACTGTTGTGTCGCATACTTAATATAGACCTGGAAGAGTCTATTGTCTAGGTAGTGCAGGTCTCACAATAATATATAAGAAATAACCCTTGTTAGCGCGTGAGATGGGGGTGAGATATAACTACACTCAAGCTGATGTGTTTGCAAATAACTGAATATACATATGAGGTAATATTAGTCGTTTACACACAAGGGGATTTTTAATATGCAATGACCGATTTGCCAGTAGTGTTTGACGTTGAAATGTATAAAATCATTCTCTTAAAACACATTTTTAAAGGAAAAGATGCACTTCGAGTTCAGAAGCATTTATCGCAATTTCTAGTATTGTTGTGAGTTCCATTCCAAAACTTCTATTTGACGTCATGTGGAATGTTATCATCGTAGTTATGTCATTATTTTCTCTTCAAGGTACACGTGCTAGACATTTCATTATTGCTACTGTTAGTAGTCCTCAAGATATGTAGTTCATGTTATTTTGAATGAGTATCTTTGTCAAGACCGTCAGGCTTCATTTGCTCAAATAATTTTTCACCATTGATCATAGGAAAGCGTTGAATACAACTTAGAGTTTAGATATGTCTGAATGGCTTTTGCGCCAGGCATGACTTCCCTAAGACTGTGTCAATCTGAATACAATTCAACTTTTCATCTCTCATTTTGGTATGATTAATCGCCATGATATTAATTTGGTTCCTTAAAATAATTGATAAAGTATAAAGCGTATTTCAGATTTATATCTGAAAATAATTGTGTATATCCGAATACCTAAATAGACTAACATCGTGATTCAGTTAATATCAGTTAAATACTTTGCAATCAGTAAACAAAACAGTGCATTTCTGCGTTTACACGTAATGCAATAATTCAAACAGTAACAGTTTAAAAAGCCATAGCTGAATGAAACAGTGATCTTTATGAATTTTACTTTTTTTCTTTAACGAAATAGATAGATAGATGCGAAAAGACAGAGATAGATAGATAGATAGATACGAAAAGACGGATAGATAGATAGATAGATAGATAGATAGATAGATAGATAGATAATTGGGAAAGACTGAGAGAGATAGAAACGAAAAGACTGAGATAGATAGATAGATAGATAGATAGATACAAAAAGACGGATAGATAGATAGATAGATAGATAGATAGATAGATAGATAGATAGATAGATATTTGCGAAAAGACTGAGATAGATACGAAAAGACGGATAGACAGATAGGTAGATAGATGGATAATTGGGAAAGACTGATATAGATAGATAGATAGATAGATAGATACGAAAAGACGGATAGATAGATAGTTGCGAAAAGACTGAGATAGATAGATACGAAAAGATAGATAGATAGTTGCAAAAAGACTCAGATAGATAGATATATAGATAGATAGTTGCGAAAAGACTGAGATAGATAGATAAATAGATAGATAGATAGATAGAGAGATAGATAGATAGATAGATAGAACTCGTACTATATATAACTATCTGTAAAGAGCGCTCCTATCCTTGGCTACAGGAGAATCATTTCCCCAAACTCAAACAAAATATCAAGTTTCTTGAAAATGTTATTTCTACGTGAGATTTTTCTTCCATTTCTCGATCTAATTTTAGACCGACTTGCGATTCATTTCGACATTTGAGCAGCTGCATCTTTGACACTGAAGCAGACACTTAAATGTGGCTGTTGACATTTGCAAAAAGAGACGCAGATGTTGAGGATGGACACTTTAAATGCAGACCTCGGTAGACAGCCGTATTAAATGGAAATATCCACCTCATGCATATATAGAAAGTTATGAAAATGTATATGGTATAAAGCTGTTACGAAACTTCTTGAGAAAGATGGAAACTCGTTTTGTTCTACCATTTTAGTTCAATTTGAATGGACAAATTACCTCTACATTAATTGAAAAGTCACATCTATGCATGTAACTGAAAATAACCGATATTCTATATGAACACTGGTAAATCTTGTGCAACCGCATGAAGATAAACGTAAATGTATATATATTTGTTTAACCAGGTTCCTGGCTATATTCATTGTCATGGTAACTATTTCGGGTTATGTTTATTACTCTTGTTTCAAGTATACACACATGCGCAAACACAGTCACACATACACACATTTGCTAGCGGGCGAGGCCCATAAACTCATTACGAGTTATTCATATATGAAATAATAAATATTTTGATGAGAAATTAAACGTCATCTACTAAGTGTTCCAATAAACTCGACTCGATATAAATCGTTCCTATATAGATATTATTATCTGGAATTAAAATGAAAGAAATGATGGCATCCAAACTGAATTCATCATAAAAATTAGTAAATGCAAAATTCCTCAAAGAAATCAGTGTATAGATCAATTATGATGCATTTAGTATAAGATATAAGGAACTTGCTGAGAGAATAGGCTGCGCAAGTGGTAGTTTAAAACAGTATTGCTACGAATTCAAATCATTAACCTGGAATCTCGACCCATGTTCGTAAATAGCATCGTCATGTCTAGACTTTCTTGCGAATACCATGCCAGGATAGAATCTCGTTAACAAATATCTAAACAACCAGCACTATAAAAACCATATTATCAGATCAGCAGTTATAATTGATTTGTTCTTAAGAAACTGTGAACCTTTCCCAAGATAATCATTTAGACCCTTTGTGGACATGATCTAGAGTTTCACAAACTAAGAAATGCAACCGATAGCAGAAATCACAGAATATGAGGGCTTTCAACAGCAGCAACATATATAATATATAACGCAAAGAGAAAATAATGACATCATTTTGATGCTGATATTACACAATATTTCAAATACAGGTCATAAAAACTCAATCAATAATTTAAAGTGCGATAGAAAATACTTCACTTGAGAAAACATTTGTCTTAAAAATTCTTTTAAGATTTTGTAAATTTCAATCGACGGTAGAAATCCCTCTTGAAAAAACTATGCAGAATGATTCATCATAATGAGATAGGTTCAGGTGAAAATGAAAAACAATTGCTAAGTTCGGGTCTTCCATGTGAATATATATATATATATATATATATATATATATATATATATATATATATATATATATATATATATATATATATATATATATATATATATATATATATATATATATATATATATATATATATGTTATACCTATATATATATATATATATATATATATATATATATATATATATATATATAAAAATATATAAGACATTTTCATGTTTATACATTCTTTGAATAAAAATGTCTTAAATAATTGTCGGACTTTGTGCATTTCATGATATATATATATATATATATATATATATATATATATATATATATATATATATATATAGAGAGAGAGAGAGAGAGAGAGAGAGAGAGTTAAACCTAGAGAGCCAGAAAAAATATATATATGTATATATATGTATCTCTCTGTCTCTATATATATATATATATATATATGTATATATATATATATATATATATATATATATCTCTGTCTATATATATGTATATATATATATATATATATATAGACAGAGAGAGAGAGAGAGTTAAACCTAGAGAGCCAGAAAATATATATATATGTATATATATGTATCTCTGTCTATATATATATATATATATATATATATATATATATATATATATATATATATATATATATATATATATATATATATATATATATATATATCTCTCTCTATCTATATATATATATATATATATATATATATATATATATATATATATATATATATAGAGAGAGAGAGAGAGAGTTAAACCTAGAAAGCCAGAAAAACATACCACCGTTTCACCTCAGCTTCTGGCCTCCATGGCGATCTGCTAAGGTGAAAACGTGCTAGGTTTCTCTGGTTCTCTAGGTTTAACTCGGCCTGCTCTACTTATTGTATTGAACACTTTAGTTATTTTGCATACTTGTATCGTTTTTTTTTTCTTTGTTCTTTGGACGTTCATGGTATTATCTTCTGTTAACGTACATGTTCTTGGTTCTTTCTTTTTTATATACCTTTTTTTCCCTTCGGTATCGGTTTAATTATTTGCAAATTACCACACTGAAGGTTTTCCAAACGAGTATATATTCTTATACTTATAAGATTACTATTACTACTACTAAAATATCTATCTATCTATCTAGCTATCTATCTAGCTAGCTAGCTATATATATATATATATATATATATATGTGTGTGTGTGTGTGTGTGTGTGTTAATTTAAAGATTATTTTTAGAGGCGACCCATATTTGAGTTGTCCCTCCGTCTATTGTTTACAGTAGATAAACGGAAAGTCTACTCAATGTAAATATCCATTCTGAATAATCTCTAAAATAAAAAATATATCGGAGTAATAAATAAAAAAAAAAACAATTACTTCTTTAGAAAAATGGTTTGGATATATTAAGTATTGTAAGGAATGTATATATATATATATAACAAAGAAGTTTTATGGTAAATGAATCGCATGGCTCACATACTAAGAATAAGATAGAAACAGTTTAAGTTTATAAGACACATGCTAAGGAAAGATGTTTTGAAGAATTTACCTTTTCCAAGTCATATTGAAAGGATGAGAGACTGAGGAAGACAACGAATAAACAGGTTTGTAAATGTTAGACAGACGAACGAATTGTTTTATTTATTTTACACAAAGCATGTTGACACAAGGGATTACGGAATGAGAAATAATATGAGAACATACATTATTAAAGAAAATGTACAATAAAAGTACATGTTTTAGAAAACAGAATTTAAACATTGAAATTGCATTTCCTATAAAATTTGTAACAGTTTTCTGCTTACATATAATTTGAAACATTATATTGGTTCATATGTTTGGTCTGCGTCAATGAAGGTTGTTTCATCATGTCGTGTTAGACAATTATTCTTACATATATATATATATATATATATATATATATATATATATATATATATATATATATATATATATATATGACTATTCATTCCCTCATTGAATATTCCACAAATAGCTGGCTTGATTAATTTGTTAGGCACTTAGTTATTTTGATAAAATCACAAAATGTTATTGGTTCTGACATGTCATCTTGGCTTCCATCACTTTCTCACCGCCGAAACTTAGCATACCTGTAAATTTTCCATAGATTCTTCCATGGTAATTGTTCAAGTAGTATTTCCTCAATCGTATCTAGACTTTATTTAAGCGATGTAATAGATTTTAGGCAACGTTACATTATTTTACAGTGTGAAATGGCTAATATAACCGTTACTTTCAGGCAAAACATTCTTTTTAAAAGCTTTTCGCTTGTGGAAGTTGCTTTCGTCTTCTTACTCTCCTTGTCACCAATGTTCGAAAAATATTAATTGCAACAACAATTATTAAGTTACGTTTTCTTACATTCCTGCTCTTTTATTGTCACGCTCAGTAACATCTTGCCTCTTAGTGGCTTTTTTACCTTACTGTAAAATTTGTAAAGTCGTGATACTAAAGTTGAAAATGCCATCAGCATAATTACCATGAAAATATTTATAGAAAGGATATGTTGAATCGTCAAGCTGAATGATACACATAGAAGTGTTAGGGCTTAATATATTTATTCAGCCCGGCGCTAAAGGATCCATACCAAACAACACAGAACAGTACGTTACAAAACAATTAACAGGACAACGTACAAGGAATAGAGGGGGGTCAAATACTGTATAGCGAAACGAAGTAAAATTCATCCGAATATTAAACACCTTAATATCAACGTATTAATCAACTGTGGAAATCTTTAATCGTAGATTATTTAGGGCTATAAGCCATGCCATCTGATAGAGTATTGAAGGGGTGTTAGCTGCTTTACAACAGGACAAATAACAAGGACAATCTTATCAAGATCTACAAAGGAAAGAGTGTTGTGAGAAACATGATCTCCCATGTCCTGAACGGATACGGTACACAGAAGAAGAAAAAACGAAAAAGTGTCGATTTCTTACTGAATATGAGTGTTAGTATGTAGAATATTATGAAAAAAAAAATGGAGATAATGAGACGAATTGTTATACTTTTACAGACATAAATAAATTGCAGTTCTCTGTGTTAGTCGGGCCTCTTCAAAATTTAAATTTAAATTGAGCCAGATATAGCTGTTTTGCACTTTAAATAAGAGAAAATTATTATAAATGGAGAAAAAAATGAGAGACATGACTTTCTATTAGAAATTTTATTATGCAACAAAGTAAAAGCATTTTATGATGAAATTTTGCTCACTTCAAAATATCTTCCGCTAGCATTGTTTATTGCAGTACAAATGTTTCACATTCATTGCAAAAGTTTCTTAAAGTTTGATAATTGATTCATTTTCAAAGTTTTATAATTGATTCAACCTTTTTTCCATGACACTAAGAATTCTTTTACATTTCTTTTCATTCTTCTGTAAAGTTCCTCCCACAATAATTTAGTGTTCTAGCTTCAAACTTTTAAACTGTAGTTTATATATATATATATATATATATATATATATATATATATATATATATATATATATATATGTGTGTGTGTCTGTGTGTATGTGTCTGTATATATATATATATATATATATATGTGTATCTATATATATATGTGTGTGTAGTGAAAGTATCATTTATGTGTCTCTGTATGAAATCTGAAAATGTAACTATGATAATTGTTTATGCGGCCTGAATAAGTAGTTTT